GAGAGAGAGAGAGAGAGAGAGAGAGAGAGAGAGAGAGAGAGAGAGAGAGAGAGAGAGAGAGAGAGAGAGAGAGAGAGAGATTATTTTCAACAAGTGCACCTGTCAAGTTACTGGGGGAGAAGGGGGGTGATGACGAAAGCAGAATAAGGGGCGTATATTACCACTCTGCTGGTTGACACGAACGCAGAATAAGAGGCGATTGTAACCCGTCTGCGGGTTGATGTGTGTGGAAGGAACATCTTGCCACCTGTATCTATATCTGATTCGCCCCAAAATACGGGAGATGATGGTTGCACATGGGCTCTTTCTTCCTTTTTTTCCTGTTTTTTGGGGGAAACTTTTCTGTTTGTTTTAGAATTGGGCTCGATTTTCACTATGGATTGTTTAAGAATCGTTCTCCATCAGGTCGGTGAGGAGATTGTATGTATACAATCGGGTCGCGATGAGGAGGGAGGGCGGCGAAGAGAGCATGCTTTGGACCAATTGGGGACTTGGCCTGGAATTCCTGTTCTTCCCCCCCCCCCCCCCCACCCCCCGCTTTATTTTAAAAAGTGTAGTTCTTTGTTTCTTACGTAAGTGACACAATTCAGACTCATTTGAGGGCATGATATGATAAATACTTCCGTCGTTTGTTTCTTACGTAAGTGACACAATTCAGACTCATTTGAGGGCATGATATGATAAATACTTCCGTCGTTTGTTTCTTACGTAAGTGACACAATTCAGACTCATTTGAGGGCATGATATGATAAATACTTCCGTCGTAAGTGACACAATTCAGACTCATTTGAGGKCATGATATGATAAATACTTCCGTCATAAGTGACACAATTCAGACTCATTTGAGTTCATGATATGATAAATACTTCCGTCGGTGGTCGTCAATGTAGTCATATCAACCAGAAACATCCAGAAGCTCCAGAAAACGGTGTAGGGAGATGAGGGGGAAACGGTGGTGGAAAAGTGCGACCAAGGGCATGCTACTCTCACACAACTTTTTGACTTACACCGTCAGAGACCGTTAGGTACCGTTAGATACATCCAGGTAAGTTCTACATCCATGTAAGTTCCAGTATGAGAGGGACTCGCAACACTAGGACTTTTCTGGACGGCGAACGCAGCTGTGGACGAGATTGCTGTCAGACGCATTCAGCTCCGGACTGATGTCGGATACATTTGGGAAAGTGCTAGCGTGAGCTTGCCCTGTGTGCGTCTCAAGGGCCTCTGTCCACTATTCTAGACTCCCGAAGTTTCGAGAGTAACGCCTCGCTCCACTTACTCTAGACTGGAACTCGTGACAACACCCTTAGAGAGCTGTCAGAAAGCACTCTCGAAGGGTACTCTCGATTTGTATCGAGTTCACAGCCTGCAACGCTCAGGTTTTCTAGGTCCTCCTGCTATCTCAAAGGGCGCTCACGATTTGTATAGAGTTCACAGCCTGCAATGCTCAGGTTTTCTAGCGTCCTCCTTCCTAATCCCACTCCGGCCTCCTTTTTTGCGAGTGTGCCTCCTGGCCCGACCATCAGAAAGAGCTGGCGCTGTCATCTAGCGCTGTAGAAGGGCTGTCATGTAGCGCTGAGAAATTTGCGAGTGCTTCTATTGTTCTTGAGGCCTCCTGCCCCGACCATCAGAACCACCTGGCGCTGTCATCTTTTTTTTTTTTACAAAAAACAACCCGAACGGTTGCTAGAGGTGCTGATAAAAGCAGACACCACCAGCACCTTCGGAGAGGCTCCATCTATTAGTGGGGAGTAGCGCTTGCTGGAAATCGGGTCCAGCGTCCCTGTAGAGTACAATGTAAAAAATGCATGTTTTGGGATAGTAATCTATTGACTGTCTTAGTTATGTCTTTCCAGTGGTTGTCTTGCGTTGTTGTGACTATAACTATGTATGTGGTATTGAACTATTTACAGTTTGCAGTTTCTATTGTCCGTTGTATATACTGTGTATGTTACAGCGTTGTGCAGGTATGGTTGCTGTGATTTGTAGGTTGTGGATTTTGAGTTGTGATCTAGCGCTATAGAAGGGCTTGTGCAGGTATGGTTGCCGTGATTTGTAGGTTGTGGATTGTGAGTTGTGAGTTGTGATCTAGCGCTGCAGAAGGGCTGTAAGGTAGCGCTGAGAAATTCGTGAGTGCTTCTATTGTTCTCGAGTCTGGAGTAAGTGGAGCAATGTTTCTTTTTCAAGAGTTTTTGACCTCTGACAGCTCTAGAAGCACTCACAGCTCTAGAGGCACTCACAATTTTTTTTGTGTCTAGTGTAGTGGAGCGAGACCCAAGGTTGAGGATAAGTTTTCTTCTTTCTCCTCTTCTTTTTTAAACCACCAGTACTTGGCCCAGCTATCGGCCGCGGCGCTTCCCCGTTAACGTGCCGTGCCTTTAGGGCTTCGGGGTACCGGACCACAATGGCTGGAAGCGCCAGCCAAAAACAAAACAAAACAAAACGGTACCCCGGCGCTTTGGCAAACATCAGCGCGCAGGGGCATTCCAGGCTCGGCATCGACAGCTGGGCCAAGTACTGGTGGTTTAAAAGGGCGACGGCCTTGAGATATCATCATTGAGCTGACTGGCCCCACACAATTCAGAAGTATTTGGTTTTTACTTCCTTCATCTGGATTTGAACTCCGGTCTGCATCTCAACAGTTCATGGGTATGCCCTCTGAGCCAAGGGCCTCGTTCGACACCACTTGAACTCAAGGGTTGACGGAAAATTCTTCGTTCCACCCGTCTCTAATGACCCCGCCCTAATGTTTTCACTTTCCTGCTCTCTCAAGTGTGCATCGTTGAAACTCAAGTGCGGCTGGGGCAAAATCGCACTTGTGGTACCTGAGTTCAAGGGCCAGCGGATACCGCCAGCACTCCAAGTGGGCTTTTTTTTCGGTTTTTCTTTTTCCCCCCAGCAGGCGATCCTGGTCCAGTATTGGTCAGCAAGCCGTGGAGTTCGGTTTCAAGTGCAGCGATCCTGTTCAAGGGTTTCCTCGAGTGCACATGGAACCATAAATGGAGTAAGTGTAAATTGATCACAATTTGTCGTTTAGTGTGCAAACGTATTTTCAAGCGGTGTCGAACGAGTCTCTAAGGCTCTTGGGCGAGGAGAAGTTTTGATGGAACAAGTATGCAAAGGAAAAAGCGAGGTTTCGGTGAAAAAAGAGAGAGAAAAGTTTTGGAGAGGGAAAGAAAAGAGGGATGCCGACCAACTGGCCTGGGTCAGTTGTTAAACCCCTGAGCTGTTTAAAGTACAGACTCAAGCTTGAGCTTCCCTGGAAGCAGTTGAGTGAAATAATTCAATTCTGAATTATGGAACGGCTGGTTAGTTTGATGATGATATCTCAAGGCCGTCAGATGTATGCCGTGGGGACCAAGAGGGGGAAAACAAAAAACACACTCACCACATGCACAAACGACAAAATATGGCCGTGCATCTTTCCAATGTTCTAGCGGCAGAGTCATTCTCATTTGGCAAATTTGGTGAGGTGTGGCAAATTTGGTGAGGTGTATCCTTCCATGTTCTAGCAGCAGATTCAGGGCATACTCACACTGCGACCCCAAATCCGCACATTATGTGAATCCGATTTGCGGTTTTAGGCACGCGGGTGGTCACACTGCGTTACAATTACTAAGAGGATAGGGAATTGGTGCTTCGCTGGTCACACATACCCGGCCGTGAAATCTACCAATTATATTCCCCCCCCCCCTTCTTTTTCCCTGCGTTCCGCACATCCGCACACCTCAACATTGGCCTGTACATGTCAAGAACTTTCGAGAATGAATTTTGGCAAATTTTCAAAGAAGATTCGAAAAAATAAAAGGGTCCCTTGCCCTGCGGCTTTCCAGGCTGCTGACAAATGGGCACTTGAATAGTACATTTGGTACTTCGGCAAGTCTGTGTGACCGACCCTCTAGCCTTTTTCTTGAGAATTTGGGATTATAGTTCCCAGCGTCTCATTCTCAGGGCATACTCACATGAGGAGGACCAAATGACCTTAAAATGATAAATCCCAAAATTTGAGTCAGTTTTCAGGTCACACACAACAGGCCCGCTACCCAAATGTCTCAAACGGTGACCCTTTTGTCAGCGGCCTGCGGGGCAGTGGGAGGACCCTTTTTTGAGACTCAAATGACCTTTTGAACTTTCCCCGCAATCTTACCTTATTGCAAGAAGTCGTGGACAAAGAAAACAGCCTGCCAGAAAAAGACAAAAAAGATGGACTATCTA